CTTCCTGCCATAGTGAGATGATAGGTGTATTCTAACATGCTCAGCTTTTTTGTTGGGATGAGATCTCAGTAACTTTTTTGCCCAGTTTGGCTTTGAGCCATGATCATCCTGATCTTGGTCTCCCAAGTAGCTAGGATTACAGTCATGACTCACTGGTGCCAGGCAGTGGGTCACGATCCTTCTGCCTCAGCCTCCTGAGTGCTGAGACTATAGGTGTGAATCACTATGTCCAGACCCAGACCCCACATCTAACCCCACTCTTTTCTCAGGCTCCAGAGCTGCACCAGTCTGCTAGACTTCTCCAACTTCCTGCCTCTCTCCCTCTAGCTGTCTGATATCCATCAGGGGAAATGATAGATGTCCCAGGGCTGGTGACAAGGGCCAGAAAGCAAAGGTGGCTTGGTCACAAGGTGGGTGGGCACAGACACTTGGTTCTGTAGGGAAATATACACTATTCCTAAATTTAAGTTAGATAATTTAAATGAGTTAGATAAGTTTAAATTATTTAGTTCATGCTATTAGCATCGATGTCTTAATGACTAACAGTCTAAACAGCATAAGTGCACGAAACCACCCCAGACACCCAACTCTGCCACTCTTTCCTAGGGCATGTGCAAGTTTAGCATATTTTGGTTCTTAGGCAGCTTGCTGGGTAAGGGTCTGTTAAAGACATGTATTTCTACCTGTTCATAAAATGCTGAGCGTGGCCAGGTGCCAATGGCTCATGCCTGTAATCCTAGCTAATAAGGAAGCTCACAGTTTGAAGCCAGCCAGGGCAAATAGTTTTTGAGATCCTCTGTTGAAAAAAACTCATCACAAAAAAGGGCTGGTGGAGTGGCTCAAAGTGTAGGCTTTGAGTTCAAATCCCAGAAGAAAAAGAAAACGCTGAGTGATTTTAAACTCTCTTGCTAGATGCTGATATTTGTAAAACAAATTCTCTGAGTAAGGGCCTATCCTCACAGTTCTGCAGGAATAACTGCTCACCATTTGGTAATGGTGTTTTCTTTCCACAAAAAGGAAGTTTAGGTGGTCTATAACTTAATGAATAAATAACAATGCAAGCACTAGACCACACTATTTTCAGTCACACGAACACAGTATCATGGCTTGTCCTAATCTCTACCAATAATGTGTATAAATTATTTTACCTAAACTAGCTTTGTAACAACTTACCTGCTTGTTCTGCAGGTTTGAATCTGGTTCCCTACAAAGATTTTTAAGAGTTAGAATACTGATATTTATTAAACCTATGGACTCTTAGCAAGGTGTGGAGGCACATGCCTGTAATCTAGCATGTAGGAGGCTGTGGCAAGATAGTGAGTTTGAAGCCAGCCTGAGGTACACAGCAAGACTCCATCTCAAAAAAGACTTAAAACAATAAACAAAACCTTCCAAAACAACAACAAACCCCAAAACACTTCAAAAATCTATGGATTAAAAAAGTATGTTAAGGTACATATAAGTTTTGAAGCTGTGGCTGAACTCCCAGCTCTACCTCTAAGATCATGGCTACCTAACACTTAACATTGTGCTCACCACTACACGCATCTCAGCTTCTTCTCTCTAACAAGGTTTAGGGATCTTTCAGGTTTGCCTCACTGTAAAATTCTAAGACTTACTCATCTTTTGTTGGTTACGTCTTAAGTGCTAAGGTTAGAAGTACATAAACCAAAAGGAATGAGCTTGCTTACTGGGTCAAAGTGCTAGGAGTGGGGCCTGTGACAGTCAGGCAGCTCTTTCGAATTCTACCTGTCAGGCCTGCTGTAACCAGGCCCCATGGACTGGGTGGCTTACAAACCACAGGAATTTATTTGACCATTCTGGAGGTTGGAAAGTCTAAGATCGTGGTACTGGAGTAAGGGTCCACATCCTGGTGCTTTCTCCCTGCATCCCCTAATTAGTCACCTTCCAAAAGCCCCACCCTGAACTATCCTCACATTGGTATTAAGCTTCACCATGAATTTTGGAAGGCGACACAAACATTTAGTCTATGGCACATTCCTTTTCTCCCTGGGATTTGGTCTCCAGTTAAAAGCACTGCTTCTCAAGAGCTGGTGGTAAAACAGGCCTGGGAGTGTCTGCAGCTTGGGAGGAGCCAGCCCTGGCCAGAACATGGGGCAACTTGGTCCATCTCCCACTTAGGCCTCAGGCAGCAATGCCAACCCAGTTCTTCCTTAAATTTAACCTTCCTAGCCATGGGAGAGGCAAAGTCTAAAGGCTGAGTTCAAGCTTTGCCCCTGGGGGAGAGGGGCCAAAGGGAACAGAATCTCTCCTACATGTTATTGAACAGCCTGTGATTCTCAGAGTAGAGCCACTGGCAGAGCTCAGGCCACACCCAGAATGATTATGTACCCATGTCTCTGTGGGTAGGGCCCAGGCATTTGTATTGTTTTAGAGTTCACTAGGTGATTCTATCTTGCAACCCATACAGAAAACCTCTCCTTTGCCATAGGACTGCTTGCTGCACAGGTAACAGCAAAATTTCAAAGTTAACACCTTGACAGAACACTTCTAACAATTCTGGTGTGAATAGTGGAAGATGTTAGATTATTTATAAAAATATGCAAGGAAAGGAAAAAGACAGTGAACAAAAATGTTTTGATTGTATTCAAATTTTTATTTTTTTGAACAAAAAACTTAAGACAATGATTTTAAATAATAAAACATGGCATATTCTAGACACTTTTTTTTTAAAGATGGCTTATAATAAATTTGGACTCCCCAGTTCTGTTGTGAGGCTTTCTTCAACATTTATATTATTTCTTACCATTTTATCTTCACTCCAAACTTGCTTAACAAAGAATCACTGTCTGTTTACGGGAAGTTTCACTTTAAGGGAATACTCCACTACCACATAAAACACACAGGACAGTAATTTTTTTTTCATATTTACAGAACACAAGAAGTCTGTCCAGCCATTTTGGTTTTGTTGTTTCTTTGCCCGTACTGAGATCAGCAAAAAAGCCAATGAGCAAGATTTCATTTCAGCCGTGCAAAGGATGGTATCAACCAAACTTCATCAAACAAATCGACAAATCACAAACACAGTCAGCAACATTCAACTCATGTAAAGGGACTAAAAAAACCGAACATGTAGTGGGTCACAACTAGACTGGTTTTTACTGTGAAACTTTCCTCAGGGAACACTACTGCCCATTTCACATAAAGAAAGGAACATGCATCCAAGCCTTTGTTCATGAAAAATGCCCTTCAAACAAATTCATCATAAGGCAAAAAAGAAAAGAAGAAGTATGGAAAAAAAAAAAAGATGAAGCAGTTTGGCCCAGAGAGAAACTTAAATAAAATGCGTATACACAGTATATACACATTTATAGACATATTGCAATTTAAACCAGGTATCTAGTCATTAGACAATTAAATGAACTGGCTCAGTAAAGTGAAAAAGTATTGTCTATAAATATGTAGTTATTGCTAATGTGCCACACATTACGCGTTGATGTGGAAACTGTAGTAACGCAGAATTTGAAGCTGCCATATTGTCAGTGTTAGCCCTGCAGTAGGCAATCCATCCCATGGTCAACATGCTGCCTGATCCTGGAAAAAAAAGCAAAGTGCCACTACGAGAGAGAGAGAGAGAGAGAGAGAGAGAGAGAGAGAGAGAGAGAGAGAGAGAGAGAGAGAGAGAGGGAGAGAGAGAGAGGGAGAGAGAGAGAGAGAGAGAGAGAGAGAGAGAGAGAGAGAAAGGCTTTGCACCATCCCCTTACATTTTTGCTTTTTTTTTTTAAAAACAAAAACAAGTCCAGTTCACCACGAGTGAAGTGCAACCTGACGAGCAAGTTAGTCACACAATGGGGAGAGAAGAGTGAAATACAGCATGCATGCACAGCTAGCGCTGATCTAGTCTACTTGTCATACAAACCGGAGTACAAAAATCCAATTTAAATAAGACTAGACTGTCATAGTAAAAAAAAAAAAAAACACACACAGTAGACTTAGTTTGATACTGATTGATTTTAAGAGTAAAATTCATTCTGCCAGCTCCTAACACTCTACTGCAATTTATTTATTAATGGCTAGAATATTTACTTACTTAAAAAAGATATTAAATACCTGTATCATGAAATTACATTCTTATTAACAATAAGACATACTGTGTAAGAAAATAGGTCATGTGTGAAATGTGTCTGAAATGCATTTTTCCTTACAACTATCAAAAACATCCACTCACACTAAAACAAAATAGTCCCCTATACCCGCCTCCCCCCTCCCCCCCAAAAAAAAGTTAAGGAAAGACTGGGGTAGGCTGGGCAAGGAGCAGGGAAGGAAAGATTTAGCTATACTAATTATAGCACAGTGATTAACAATGGTTCAAGACAGAACCAACAAGAGTTGGTCAAAAAGATGCCTTCAATACATGGTTACAATTAAAAACCAAACTCAGCCACTTTTGGTTCATTGCAGTGAGACCAAAAAAAATATCTCTTACAGATTCATATAAATATTAGACTCCAGCTCTTGTGTTATTATTTTTTAAAGTTTTTTTTCATTGTTTTTGCAAGGCCTAGCTACCTTATTAACAATTTATATTTGCTCTGCCACAACTACAAGAGGTAGGCAAAAAGCACGAAAAAGTTTCTCAGTTAGTACCTCGCTGAGGGCTGCTCGCTGCACACTGCCGTCCATTTTACACAACTAAGGCCAGGACTTTGTTGCCACCCACCCCTCTATGTTCTAAAAAGTGTACTCACAAGTAAGAAACTTTTCCTACTGAAGGATACTGTCATAGTGTGTTACAGAGCATTCATATATGTATATATAGATATATTTATTTGTTTAAAAAAATAAACAAACAACAACAAAAAACAAACCGGGGTTCCTAGAACCAATTCTCTTGATTCTCTACTTCCACAAAAAAAAGTGTATCATTTAGCCAAGACTACAGATGTGTTTTTTTTTTTCTTTTTCACAGATGCAAGTGCCATGCAAAATAAATTAAAGAACAGATACCAAAAACATACATGTGATAAAACTATTGAAGGTAGATCTTTAAAAGCATTTATATAAACATAATTTATAATACTTCTCTTTTCTCCTGTATATACAGTCACAAAGCTGTAGTTATACATCTAGGATTTCCTCTGCCGTTCCTCCACAGCGCAACCTGTAGCGACCAGTTCTCCAGCTTATAGTAGGGTCCCATAATGCTGACAAAAAAATGTATATCGTCATGGATTCGCGGATGAACCAAGCGACGGCATAATCAAGTTTTGAAAAACACAGCGAACCACCCTAAGAGTTAAAAAAACAAACAAATTTACTCATTGTCACACTAAAGACACAGTTAAAAAATGAAGCGCTTAGATCTCACTCTTCTCAATACAGTACAGAGTCTGTTTCCTTGGGTAATTTCACTGTCATGCAATACTGTTTAAGAAAATGTTGCCGGGCTCCAGTGACTTGGGGAGGCTGGGGTCAGAAGGATCAAGGTTCAAGACTAGTTTAGGCAAATAATTTGTGAGACCCCCATCTCTAAAATCCCTAGCGCAAAATGGACTGGAGGTGTGTCTCAAGTGGTAGAGTGCCTGCCCAGCAGGCCTATCAAGCGTGGGGCCCCTGACTTCAAACTTCAGTACCTCCAAAGGGTGGGGAAGGAAGGATCTTCTAAATCCCAGCCCTACCAAAAAATAAATAAATAAATAAATAAATTTGGAGGAGGAAGGGGGAGGGGAAATGAAAATAAATATATTGGAGGGAGTGAGCATGTTCAAGATATACTGTATGCATGGAATTACCACAATGAAGCCCCCTGGTAATACAATGTATGCTAATTTAAAAATAAAATAAAAAAGAAAAGGTTGACCATTACTAACAGCAGCATTTAAATAACTATTGTTGTGTAATCTTAGTTTGAATGCCTGCATAACCAACTGAAAATTCCATTTTCATTTCACCACATGACTGTCAACCTTCTGGTGCCTGTCCACATACCTGAACACCCCTGAGTTGAATGTAGTCAAATATAAACCATGCCAGGCAATGACACATGAAAAATACCATAATATCCCATCTGAATACATGGTGAGCTGCCCATCCAATAATTAAACTGGCCACAAAGCATTCAGAAATTGGCTCACAAATTATTGTAGCAGGAAGCATATTAATTCGTAGTTTGGTCCACCTAAAAAAATAAAAAAGGATTTCAAGACAATATCTTTGCTACAAGATTAATCAAATTTTCCCCAAAATGATCAACTTTCTATCTTGTTATATAAGTCCTCCTTGTTAAAGATTTTTTTTAGGGTTTTGGGTTTTTTTTGCTATGTTTTGTTTTTATGAATCTGTCTTCCACTTTTATTTATTATATCAAAGAGAAAAGTTTATAAATTCACTTGCATGGCCTATATCCTGAATATAGATTTATAAAATTTAACCAAGATGTAGGAAGTTAAAAAACAAATTACCATATAAAAAATTCAAAATCTCAGTATCTGTTTTGAAAAATTCAGTGTTACACAGCAAAGTAAATATATTAGGCTTTCAATTTATTTTAATACAGAATACTTTCTGGAACTAAACAAAAAATCTGACTTCTGGATACATTTCTCAAATCACGTTTAGTCATATAAAAATAACCCCTTCTCCCTTTTCTTTTAACAAAGTATAAAAAGACAGCTGATTTACCTGATCATTCTGGACTGAAACTGAGAAATTGAGTATGAACCAGAGTTTTGCATTGCAACTTGAGTGGACATCGCAAACCTCCAACCTCTGAAATAAAGATAATTACAAAGTGATCTGTGATGATGAACACTCACGAGTTGACAGGCTATGCGTTCCTAATTACTGTAACAGCAAGCAGCTGCCAACACTCAGGGTGACCCTAGCTCTCACAATTAGTGCACTCATGCTATGAATGTTTCAGTCCAAGTTGGCCCAAGACGTAAGTACAGTGTGCAAACTGGACGGGACTACAGCCCTCTTACTTTACAGCTGAAGGAACTGAGTGCGGTCATTCATTCTGTCACTCAGATGGAGAGGATTCTGTAACTAGTAGTTTAGTCTCTAATCACTACTACCCACCTCCCCGGGAAATTCGGTAGGGGTGTGTGTGTGTATTCAACAAGAGATGTAAACAAGAACGGCGTGCCGTGTCTCGTGGGAAATATTAGGTGGCCTTGAAGCCTGTGAGCACCGTCATGACAGAACTTTAAAAGTATACTTCATTTTAAAACCACACTTTTAATAAATGATCATACAAGGCGGCGATCTCTTTTAAAAGCAAACAAGCCCCTGTGAGAGTGAAATGACAAGGCAATCGTGAATCATTAAGTGGTTTACTAGCAGAACATCAAATAATTGGCTGAGAAGTTTCAAATTCTAAAATGATACTTTTTAAAATTTCACCTACTGAGGGCTTGCGACTGTACGAATAACTTTAATTCTAAAATGGGTGGAAATCTTTAGCTAGACTAATGAAAATGCGTGATCAGAGACCCTTCTTTTTAATCACTTCAAGCCATGTCAATCTGAGTGCAGATGAATGCATTTGCTCCATCAGTACATATCTATGAATATTTAATGTGAACTGTTTTGCCAAGATTACTAACCTAGCAAAAAAGTAAAGTGAAATGAAAAAGTCCTAATCCATGGTTTGAACGAGGCAGCAAAACCACTGGGGCTTAATTTGCTTTTCTTACCTGTCCGCTATTGCTTTGGCCATAAAGTAATCTTCAGCAATGTACTGGGCAAAAGCTATAAGCCCTCCTGCTTGGTCTAACACGTCTTTCCTCATTAAACAAGACATTCCTGTCACACACTTGAAGCCAGTCACATTGGCAGAGATATAGGACCTTGGATGTGAAGTTCCAAAATATACCTGTCCAAAAGCACACACAAATGTATACAATTACAATTTGATGTTAAAAGTATTAATTTCATAAACTCTTTCCTAATAATTTTTCTTTAAATATAAATTGAGTGAATATCCTATTGTTCTTACATAAACTACCTGAATAAAAAGTGGCACACAATTGTGTTTCATACAGCAGGCAGTTAAAAAAAAAAGAGGCAAATTTACTTGTAGGAGGAAAAGCATATTCTACTCTCAAACAGTACTGTCTTTTTTAAAACTAAGAGTCAAAGATTTATCCAAATAAAACTTAATTTGGATACAAAATAAGACACATAAAAATACTACCGGCATATGCAATATTAACAAATGTTTACTGCACCCTGCTCTCAGGATGTTCATATGAAGATATATAAGACACAAATCTACTTACTTTATTTGGTCCATATACCTACATATATGTACATAGTTTCGGTATGTATGTACCTATAAGTACACATATGCATGTGCAAACAGACACATACCACCCATATCAACCTTGGGGACGATCCTATTTCTTAATTCCCTTTCTTGCAACCTTTCACTGCTAACTGGTTTCTGGCCCTGAGTCAGTGAGTTTCCTCCCAATTTCTCCAATTTTGTACACACACCACACACACACACACACACACGTATATTTATGTAAATAAGGAAGATGCTAATTCTACCCCCCATCTCTTGTGTCCTTTCTCTAAATGTACTTTGAAGTAATGAGATATGGCTACAGACTGAAAAATCAACAGCCAGAGAAAGACTGTGATCATCCTCTCAATAGACACAAAAGCCCTACTTATTATTTATTCCTCGGATATGCTGCCTTTTCTAATTAGCTTGAAATAAAGAGCAGTGGTCTTTCCAATGGCAGTTATACACACAATGCAGGACAGGAGAATTTTAAGGGGTAAATAAGAATGATTCCCTCTACCTACCCTAAGCCCACACTCCACAGAAGTGAGACTGAAGCAAAACTAATTTCTAACACCAGAGCATACATCTTAATCCCTTAAGCACTGTTTCTTGGGTTTTTTTTTTTTTTCCAGTCTCACTACCATTTGTCTGGGTTTGCCTCAAACTTGTGATCCTCCTGTCTCTAAGCAGCTGGTATTACAGACATGTACCCCAGCTCCCTTAAGCAATAATTAAGAAAGGTTTTAGGACTAGGTGGGACTATGGACCAGGTTGATGATTTCCTTACAGTCTAGAGAGATGCTGGTCTCTATTTGTTCTAAGTATGGCAGACTGACTTCCAGCAATTCTGCCTACAGAAGAGAGTGGGTATGTTCTGGGAAATAGTTATTATTGACATATACATCATCTTGGATAGTTCTAAAAAAACAGTTCAATATGCTATATAAGAAGATAGAGCATTTTATTTTAAAACAGTGACCCAGTGTTTCTTTTACTAACCAAAAAACTTAGGAATTTAAGACTAACAATTACTTGTGGTAGGAGAACTGTATTGATGGGCGACGTTTAAGGAGAGAGCATGATTTGATCTGGTGCAGCAGCTCATGGCTGTAATCCCAGCTACTAGGGAGGTAGAGAGCAGGAAGATCAAAGCTCAAGGACAGTCCAGGGAAAAAAACCAGTAAGATCCCACCTCAACCAGTAAGCTGGGCATGGTGGTGCAGGGTGGTTGTCCCAGTAAGAGGGAGACAAAGGAAGGAGGATACTGATGTGGGCAAACACTCAAGATCCTACCTGAAAAATAACTAAAGCAAAAAAAAAAAATGGCTGGGAAGAGTCCCTCAAGTGGTAGAGTACCAGCCTAGCAAGCAAGGGCCCTGAGTTCAAACTCCAGTACCTCCAAAAAAAGCAAAAAACAAAAAACAGAATATGGTTCAAACTGCCAAAGGTCAAATACAATTTCCTTCTGTGTACCTAAACTCCTTCAGATCTGTGGCAATCATATGCTTAGGAGGAAGTTGAGGGCTGGTGGAGTGGCTCAAGTGGTAAAGGTGCCTGTCTAGCAAGCATGAGGCCCTGCGTTCAAACCCCAGTACCACAAAAACAAAACAAAAAAAAACCTTCTAATTAGTAGGGCTATAATTTGTTTATTGCTCTTTATGCTTGACTGTAATTTATAGTTTCCTATACAAGTTAGTATTTCTGTTTTAAATTGAAAAGAAAGGGCTAGGGATGTAGCTCAGTGGCAGAGCACTTTCCTAGTATGTCCAAGGCCCTGGGTATGATCCCCAGCACTGAAAAAACTACAACAAAAAAATAATTGAAAAGAAAAAACAGAAAATATGTTTCTCATAAAATTATTAGAATTTTGTTTTAGCAGGAATCAGTGGACTGTATAAGGGCTTGTGTGAACAACTTCTTTTGTGTATTTGAAAATCTTCATGATACGTAAGAAAGCTTTTTCGGTTTGGATTTTCACCCTTTTATGCAAGTCAGTAAGTGTAGAAGTGAAAGGGAGGATCGTACGTAAGTGTTCAGCTGGCCGTAGGACCACAGGATGTGTGAGGTCAGCTCAGCTCTGTGGTCAGGGATGGGAGGACTCCCTCATTAATGAAGACAGCTATGCCCGCCTGGAGAGTTCCTTCTAGTTCACCTGAGCTCACAGATGGATTCTCAAAATGGCCTGCAGGCTCTAGTTTAGCAGTCATTGTTTAACTGCCATACTCACTTGCTCTAGAGTGGCTGCAAAGCCCTGTCTGTCCGCGACATAAGGCAGCCCATGGACCAAGCCAACTTTTTCTGTCATTTGATTCACCATGTCAGTTAGCGTATCTGGAATTACTAAAAATTATATTAAATTAAATTAAAAAGTAGGAAAAAGGGAGAGCAAAAAAAACCTTTTTAGTAAAATGCCCACCAACAGAAAGTACTGTATGAATTATAATAAAGACAAATTATCTTAAACCTTTTGAACTTAGTAAGGCGAATCTTGATTACTTTCCTGAGTAGGATACAAAATTTCAAAAAGGCATACGTTATGGTAAGCTAATTTACTCTACGCATTTTTAGTCCAGGATATGCCACAGCCTCCAAACTGGAGTAAGGACAATGTGTCCCAGGGAAAAGGTTCAGGAGCAGAGTCAAGGGCCTCCGTTCTTGTCTCTACTCTTCAAGTACAGGGAGTACCTGGACCTCCCCTCATCTGACTGCTGATGGGAATGGAATGAGATTACATCTAACAGATTTACACACTGAAACACATAACTATGACAGTGAATAACTTAAGATAGCAAATGTGAAGAATGATCATTATCTCAGATCATGAGGTGATGGCAGTCCTGATTAATGGTAGAGTACTCCCCCTGTTAATTTTTGAATTTTCATTGTAAGCTAATGAAAAATTTAAATCATTGCCCTGTTTGCAAATAGCAAACATCTCAACTTGTCTTTAAGACCCAAGTTCACTGTCTAGAGCAAAGCTGCTCTGCACCTTAAACATTCCTAGTCAAGGTCAGTGGTTCTTGACAGGAGCAATCCTCTCCATAGGGGACACCTGAAAATGTCTGCAGACATTTTTGGTCATTCCAGCTGAAAAGGATGGTGCTAGTGGTATTTAGTGAGCAGAGGCCAGAGGCCAGAGAGGATGGTAACATTTCCTGGAGGACCACCCCATCATAAAAATTTATAAGGTCAAAATGTCAATAGTGTTGAGGTACAGAAACTGAAGGTAATTAAAATATAACAAAGTATTATTATAGGAACTAATGTAAATATAGGAAATAGAGGAAAATGATAATTTCAGCATATAAAAGGCTTTTTGCTTAAACCACCTAAATGAACAGACATCAATGCATCCTAGTAAATATACAAATCCTAGGAACACATGCACTTGCCGATTTCTGCCTCTCTGTGTGAGACAATGTATTAGGCAAGCCACGACGGATTCAAGCAAAAGAGTCACAGAAATGAGGGAAAAGTTACACCTGTGAGAAAATGTGCACATGACTCTTTTTAAGGGCTGGAATTTTCTCTTCAAAATGAAAAAAACATAACATTCTAGGTCAAGATAAAAACAATTAAAATCTTAGTAAGCGTAACTCTATCACCATGAAATAAATTACTTTATTAGGCAAATAAAAAGAATTGGTGAATTTATTTTTGGATTGTTTTTGGAATTTTATAGTCAAATGAATAGTTTAATGAAAGAAATAAGGAAAAAAACTCACCTCTTATTCCACTATCACATATCCATATAAGATCATACTTTGCAACTTCATATCCTGGCATCAAATTATTAATTTTAGGATTAATGCCAACCTTTTTGCCACCTAAAAATGTAAAGGTACAGTAGTAGGATATTTATGTAATATTGAAAATACTTTATTATAAAGATACATGGTAGGGAGAAGTATTAAGAACTTTCATATTCAGTAATTTAAACAGACTTACCTTTACAGCTTTTACATTTCCTATTATTCATAATAATGTATGTAGACAAATCATTCATTCTCAAAAGGAGACTTATTTGCCTCTAAAAATTCACTGTTTACTTTTTAAAATCTTAAATACTTGCATTAACAGTGAATGTGAATCAGTATTTAAGGGCAATTGTAAAACTGCTGAGGGTAGTTTTCACCATAAATAAATAAATAATAAATAAATAAATACGTGTTTGAGGTATGTACATGTTAATTAGCTGATTTAGCCATTCTGTCGTGCACACACAGTTCAAAACATTACACTCTAAACCACAAATACAGATAAATTTTAGTTGCCAATTTAAAAAAAAAAGTGATAGAAAAAAAAAAGCGATAGGACTTTTCTGAAGGTCTGGTAATTAAGACAGAATAGAGAAAATGACCACTAGGCTAGAACAGAGAGTTCACGTATTTATTTTTAAAAAGGGCTGAGGATGTAGCTCAGTGGTACACACAGTGCTTACCTAGCATGTACAAAGCCCTGGGTTCAATCCCCAGGACTGACAAGAAAAAAGAAAGAAAATAACAAATATAAGTTTTAGAATTAAGCTTGTAGACTTTTGAAAAAATACTTTTTGCAATACAATAAAAGTGAACTTCTGTTTTCTCTCAATTTTAGTCCATGGTATATAAAAAAGGCTGCACACTGAAGATATTAAAGAAACAGAAAAGAACCTCTTATGTCTGATTATTGAGCAAAATGTAACATTTTTCTGTTTTGTTAATCACAGACATGAAAAAAACTTGGTTTTACCACTTTTCTCCAAGGAATGTAAACATCTTTCACAACTCCAAAAAACATGTTAGAGAAAACATGCTTCATAACATGGAGTGGCTAATGCTCCAGTCTATGGTTTAATACAGAAAGGATTACTGACACTTAATGCTATCAAAGCAGAAGGGTCAGTGTAGATTGTATATGCTACTTACCTATAAATAACCTAGCATCGACATTTGGATATTTCCCAAGCAGCTTCTTACATACATCGATGGCTGGGTCATCATGATCTTGCACACAAAGAAGCACTTCATACTAGTCAAAGAAGATGTTTTATGTAAATTAACCTCTCAAAACAATAAGTACGCATTAAGTTTACAGATTGATCACAATGCCTAAGAAAAACAAGCAAGTGTATATACAAAGTTAAGAGTATAATCATAATGGATGCTAACACAGGTAATGGTCTTGCTTCGATGGAGGGGATGGAGGGATGGAGGGGACGGAGGGGACGGAGGGGATGGAGGGAGCGTCTTCAGGACAGAGGCATGTATGCAAGCAGAAGAATGGAGAAGACACTGGCAGTGCAGAAGACTGAAGTCTGAACACAGACTTAGGCTACTGGGTAGACTGGATCTAAAGCTTGTCCATGACCTACGTCATTGAAGACTTAGGGTGCCCAGTGGAGTAAAAAAACACCATTTGAAAGGAAGCAAAAGAAATACACCCTCCATTCTCTAGAGGCTTTGTCTCCAAACTTAATGTTATTTCATGAAGATGCTATAAATTAAAATAAAATCCATAATGATAAACTTAAAGACGCAATGTGACTAGACTTTTTTGTATAATTCTTTTGAAATAAAATAGAATTTGACTGAACATGTACCATCCTGAAAATCTTCACCAGCCTTCGCTCAGTGCTGTGTGTAGTCAGAACGCCACATCTTGGATGGCCGTGTAAAAATCACCCTGGGACATTTGCTTTGGAAAGAGAACTGGGCGGTATTGTGAGACTTCCGAATCAGACCTCTGAGAGGACTGACACACAAAGTGCCACGTTCATACGATCTGGAGCTAAAACTCCAAGTACCATTTAGTAAACTAACAAATGTTGAAAGTGTTTGCTTTCACATACAAAGATGCTACTCCGCTGTTTTGTAGGATACGGATTCTTAAGTAATTTTTTTTCAGAGGTGGTGATAAATTCACGCTGACTCAACAACAAATTTCCTTCCAAATCCTCTTTATAAATAACTAGCTGAACACTTTAAACACAGAAAGGAAGTTAATTACACTTATGAAAAATAACAAGCCTATGTGCTCTAAAAAAAAAATAAAGGGCCAAGGATGAAACATTTTAAGTGCTTAACGTCGTATAAGGACTAACTCAGGAAGGCCTCTGTTATTTACTTCTATGGATAAGTATACATAAGTAAAAAGTGGAAATGAAATGTCTACAGTGCCTTTAAGCATAATAAGTAATTCCTGCTTGCCAATACTTCTTATCTCACCAAAATTCACTGAAGAATCTGGCTGGGCGTGCTGGAACACGGCTATGATTCCAGCACTTGGGAGGTGGACGCAGGAGAATCAAGTGTTTTGAGAGCAGCCTGGGCTACCTGGACTACATAGTGAAACCCTGTCTCAAAAAGCAAAACCAAAACCAAAAATGACTTACTTTCCAAAAGGCAAAAGTAACAATTAGCTCACCCACCACAGTAAACTGCTTAGCCAGGCTTCCTGTAAAGAGCTCTTCGTTATTTCAAATGGCAGTTTATTTAATGCTGCTACAGCTCAGGTTATTTCACTGGTATGAGTGAGCATAATGAAAGATATTTCTAAGCAACCCAAGTCCACCTTGGTATTTTTCCTCTAGCAAGAGAAAATTTTGTAAAATATAGTACTAAAGATGTACTCAAAGAGGGAAAAAAAAAAAAAAGGCTAACCTGGCAAATGGGTTACAGGAAAACTTTAGAGAAGTAAATGAAGTATACAGTGTTAATAAGAGAGGCTGCAGGTAAGGGAGGTAGTTTATGCCTATTCAAGTATAAGCCTCAAGGATTTAGTCGTTATTATACTTCTTAAACTTAATTCCAAAATAAAAACAACCTTCTGACTAGCCAGAGTGAAAAATGAAAACTCAATTCATATTATCCAAAACACTTGCAGGTTCTTAAACGCAGAGCTTTTAATTCTTGTTTTTTGTTTTTGCAGTCCCGATTGAACCTAGGGCCTCACACGTGATAGGCAATTGCTCTACCACTGAGCTACATCCCAGCCCTTTAAGTGTTTCTGATAATAAATTGGAGGAAGCATTCCAAGTGTCTTCTAAAGTATTGTACTTTAATGAGGAATCTTCATTTCTCAGCTAAGATAATCACCTCTGACTCCAGTTTTATTAAAAATTTTATTTGCTAGGGATCCTTGCACTATAACTCCACCCACCAGCTGCAGTGCAACTGGCAAAACGTAAGACATTAAATTGGTTAAAGTCCTTCTTGACTAACACAAAAAATTCTCAGGTATTTTTACACTCTAAAGGATTAGCTATAAATAGATACACTAAAAATTACAGTGTGGATTAAAAATACACATTTAAGATATTTCAAGAATATCTTTACAGACACTTAATATTTATTATCTTTTTATTTGTTTATTCATTGGTGGTACTGGAATTTGAACTCTGGACCTTTTGCTTGTTAGGCAAGCACTTTTTTAAAAAATTTTTTTGGCAGTACTGGAGTTTGAACTCAAGGTCTCACCCTTGGCTAGGCAGGAGCTCTACCACTTGAGCCACTCTGCCAGCCTAACATCCCCAGAACTTTTTCCTTAGTTTATTTTAGATAGGATCTCTCTTTTTTTTTGCCCAGATCAGCCTTGGACTATGATCCTCCTACCTCTCAAGTAGCTGGTATTATAGCTGTGTACCACAACATCTGGCTTGTTTTTTGAGATCATGTCCTACTAAATTTTTTGCCTAGACTAGCCTCAAGCTGAGAATCTCCTATCTCCACCTTCTAAGTAGCTGGGATTTAGATATGCACCACCACCCCCTGGCAATATTTAATATTTTTAATCTTGCAAGAGTAAATTCTACTCTCAACTAACATAGTTTATCTATAAACTCTAAACTAAGGAGAAGGTCAGCCTCCATCAAATCTTTAGTAAGAATGCTAAACAAATAACTAAACAGTATAATGTCCCCTTTTGCTTTTCTTTGCTTTCCTTCTTTTTTTTGGTGGCACTGGGGTTTGAACTCAGGGCCTCACCTGCTAGGCAGGTGCTCTACTACTTGAGCCACTTTGCCAGCCCCTTTTGCTTTTCAAACAACGAAATGATTAAAAGGCTGGACAAGATAGGTAACAACAATCAAAAAAAAAAAAAGAGAAAATCCTCAATCGGAGAACATTCAGCCCTTTGATATTTAAAAAACGATCTAAAATGCAATAATGATGACTTGCTTTTGTACTCATGAATAAATTTAAGTGCATAAACAAGAATTAAGTGTATAAATTTTTTTTAAATCTCAATGATTCAGTCCTGTAGACCTCAGGAATGTAAACTTTTTACTATAGTAACCAGGATAAATATCCTGTTAAAATAGATTTGTGTGTGTGCTGGGACTGATGCCAGGGCCTTGTACACGCTAAGCGCTCATTCCACCCCTGTACGGCACGCAGCCCTGAAAAATGTCTCAATAATGAATTAATTATACTGCATACCAAGGAGGAAGAACATCTCAAAATATCTTCAATTATTACTTATAAATAACTACACATTTATAGGAAATTTTATAATAAGATATACAATAAATAAAATAAAATCATAAATATAGTCTAATATGTTACAGAGCAGACCTAGCTCCCCATCGCCTACATCATTTGCTGGTCCTAGGTCAGTGATATGTCGGTGAAGTTCATACCTTTGTTCTGAGAAACATCTTGTAAAAGAAAGATGACAGAAGAGGATGTTTTAGAAGAAAACTGCTCTAAATTCAAAGTTCTAGAAGGTAGTGTTGAATGTTATCTATTCTGAAGAACTGTATAGTTTATACAGTTTTTCAAATTTATTTGATAAATTCCTAACCTTGCAGACTGTTTTACTACACCATATTAACAACACTCATGCATCACCTTTCAACTGATCTGTTTTTAAGCCTTTAATTCTTTGTTAGAAGACTACCTGGTTAGGAAAAAAGTCCTTGAGGTTAGCTACAACTCAAACAATGAGGAATCCAAAACATGGCTCTGTAAACATTTCGAACTATTGTATGATTAAAAAAAAAAATCACAATTACTATAGCCTCGCTTTGTTCATAACTCTGACCATTCACTTAAAATTTCTTCACAGGACTAGAATTTGCTGGCATGCAGCCGGAAAGCCACTTACTCATTTTCCCACTACTGCTGGGTCTCCCCAGGTTCTTTCTATGCTGACACCAAGTGACAATCAATTTTGCAAAAAATGAATCATGACATTTTTTTCATTCTTATATTTTTTTCTCCAAATACTATATATCAATGTAAAGGTCGATTTATAAGATACTTAAAGCACAGAAATCTTCCAGAGCAGTTGGTACAGTCTCACCCAAATTGAAGCCTGGAAATTCAGAACAAGTACAAGTCATAAACATTCTTGCACATGTCCAAAATTAAATAAAATTTTAAAACTCAGTATATATTTTCCAACCCCCTCCCCATGGCTTTTGATGTTCCAAATCAAATACTAGGAAGAGAAATTTATGTCCAGAATGAAGGTCTTCCTGTGCTCTGTAAAGCGACGTTCACACCCAATGCAAAACAAGATTAAAGTACGCTGGGCAAGGCAGTCATGTGAGTGTTTGATTTGTGACTACCTGCTTCTGTGGTGACACAAGTACCTTATTTGCTCACACCCCAGTTGGTGTAAGTTCAGTGGGTTAACTTCAGTCTCTGTGGAACATTTACCACTGTGTTTGGTTTTTTAAAAAGTAAAAAGTTGCAAGGCAAACATTTCCCTTAGATTGTAGGTGCTTTGCACTTTCCCTTGCTATTTACACAGCTGACAGTACTTTTATAATTAGAAAATAAAAATTGTGTCTTATGAAAGAATACAAACCATCCCCTGCATATGCTGTTACTCATTTGATAATGAGCAGCGACCTAGCTTTCTCTTCAACAAATCTAAAAGCCACAGTGATATGGCGTAAATGGGAGCAGGACTGTGTGAAATGAGAGCTCGAGATAATCCTGAATTGTAATCGTTAACAAAATCTTTATTCAGGAGAACAAATCAATTATAGATTCATCCCAAAAGTTCCTAATTAATGAATACATATGTCCCAGGGTTAGTTTTAGAAACACTTTCTATAACTAACGGCAGCAGTGACTTCCCCAATCATCTAAATCCCATGACTCTCATATCACAAGGGCTACAGCAGAAAATGACTGGGGGAAGACAGTCAAAAAACTGAAGCGCCAGATCACGTTCCACCATGACAACTGCATATGACTCTATGCTATGTGCTAAGATTTATTCATAATGAATGAAAACATTCTTTTCATTTCATTCATAAAATAAACTTTCCTTTGCATTTGCTGATATAATATGGGACTGGAAAATTTCTATTTTCCTTATTGCAAAACTTACTATGTTATCAATTTTATTCTCATCCTTCTTTCTGAATTATAAAGGCCACATTTTGCATTTTTAATTTGAAGAAAATCATGCATAGACTATTGCATGTTCTTTTTTAAAAAAAAAAAGTTAATTAATATAATTCAAGTCTCTAAAATTATTAAATATAAACACATGTAAACTAGAAGACATGTAATCTTATACTTTAAATGAGGTTCCAATACCTAAACCCCAAAACAAAAAAATATCACACAAAGTGATATTTTGAAAATAACACTAAAAAGTAACTGAATGACACTCATGTTCACAGACCTCATAATGTCTGCCTTGGGGCTTTCATGTCTGTGTCTATTCATTGTTGCTACTGAGAAAAATAAGGGTCAAAGGGAAAGAAAGAAGAGCATGAAAGCCAGTCACCACGTGAAGTGTGGCGTTTTCCATCTTCCTTCTGGCTACATTGTCCTAAGAAAATATGAGGGAAGAGTCTTCAAATAGCAAAAATAATTGAAAAAAACCTGAGGCAATGGGCTAAAAATCGAGGCAAGTGAGTAGAGACCCCAAAGGAGAAATTAAGCTGCACTGAAAACCAAGCAGGGAGAAATGTAAAGACACATTCTTCTCAAAAGCAATCTGTCATCACCAAAATACCCTGTCAAAAGCAGAGTCTCAAACAGGCAATATGTAAAAACTCCAGTAATGCTAAATACAAAAATAAAGGCATATTAAGTTCTTCAAAGAAACTAGAGGTGAAATGCTAAAGAGAAGCCATAGAAAGAATACTCCTATCTTAAGAAAACCAGAAGTTCTCCAATAAAGGGAGTACACTGAATTCACAGATGTATGTGTTGTGTAGATAAGCACTATGAGCAATACAATTAGCCATTGATAACCAGAACAACAAAGATACTAAAAATTAGGTAAGATGAAATACCTCGCCTCTAACTATAAGCTATTCTCTTGGCTTAAAGCCAGTTTGCCAAGGGGATTCATGTCTATTCTAGCTGTCTTTCATCCCATCTCAAACCATCGAACACTTTCCTCACTCTCTGCCTCTTCTTCCTCTCCACTTCTGACTCACACGGATGGTCACATTCAAACTTCCAGCATTGATAATGTCTGAGCTCCAGGAGGTTTTTTTGGGAATTTCTCCTTCAGACAGACATGCAGGTGGCCAGAAAGGAAAGCCCACTAGTGTTCTGTGATCACCACTATTAAAGCTTAAGTATCACAAGACCAACATCATGGTCAATTTTCTAAGCCTCCATCTTATACTGTGTTGACATTTCTAAGTGTTTACAATGAGCAAAAAGTAAAGTCATGGTCCAAGCCCATCTCATGAGTACAACACTGTACTTACTTTGGGATAATCCAGTTCAAAGAATGTTTCCAAATTGTTGATTAGGTTAGGATCCACTCCTTTCAGTGGCTTCAGGAGCGAGACACCTGGTAGTTTGCTATATGGCTGTTTGTCTGTGGCCTTCTTGTTGAGGTGTAATCGTCTAAAAAGAAAATGACACGTAAATTATCTCTAGAGAATTCATTAGTTCCAAAAGAAAATAGAGCACACACCAAACAATCACACAGCACTAGATTTTAAGATGAGATTCTGAAAAAATGACACCTTTCTAAATGAGCTGGAAGACTCAGCCATGCACAGAGCAGTTGACCAACGTTCGCCCTGCTTGTTCATGTCATGGGTGCTATAGTACACAGCTCCTAAGTGAGGAAAGTCCCGCCAATCAGAGAGAGAGATGTGCCCAGGCAACATTAGGCTGTCAAAACTAGATGCCATCCAGCCAAGAGGAGAAGTTTAGGCTTCCTCCCTATTTCTTATAAGTAGGTCTCCAAGCATTCAGCCAGAATCATACACAAGAACAACTACGGGTTCATCTGTAAGATGTTCTCAGACACTCTTTTCCTGTACTTTAATATATCTGCAATCAATAGAATCTTAAAATTGCTGCCAAAGACAGTGGCATTGCTAACAGTACTGCAAAAACTAACCAATGAGACCAAGAAGACCCCAAAATTCCACACGTGCCAATGCACCTCTGACTCACTGTGAATCCGTGGAGCACTTTTAGAAGCACACGAGTGCAGCAGCTAGAGAGGATGGCCAACGAAGGCAGGGGCATGTTGCAAGGAACACCTAATACTTTCAATACTGCCACAGAACCAGCAGACACAAGAAAACGGGCTACCAAAAACAAATTGATGAGAACTCTAAAGAACATGGTGGTACTAATTTCTGCTCATTTTTGACCAAAATGCCAGAAAATAATGGAGACTGCTGGTGCTGGTGGCTCATGCCTGTAATCCTAGCTACTCAGGAGGCAGAGATCAGGAAGATCATGGTTCAAAGCCAGCCCTGCCAAATAGTTTGCAACACCCTATCTTGAAAAACCATTCACAAAAATAGGGCCAGTGGAGTGGTTTAAGGTGAAGTCCCTGAGTTCAAGGCCCAGTACTGCAAAAAAAGAAAATAATGGAGCACCATCTATATAGCAGTGCTACCCACTAGAGAGTGGACCACTACAGAGTGGGCTGGTCCATCAGTTGCTTTTTACTGGCTTGCAATGAAAACAAATTGACAAGCACTCACTTTGGCAGCACATATACTAAAATTGGAATGATATAGAGATTAGCATGATTCCTGCACAAGGATGACACACAAATTTGTGAAGTGTTCCACATTTAAAAAAGAAATTGAAAAAAAAAAATTTAAACAGCAATTTGAACTGGGTGCTGGTGGCTCACATCTATAATCCTAGCTACTTGGGAGACTGATTTGAGGAGGCTCATGGTTCAAAAGGCCAGCCGAGACCCAATCTCCAAAATAAACAGAGCAAAACGGACAGGAGGCATGGCTCATGTAGTAGAGAGACTGCTTTGCAAGCCCTGAATTCATACTCCAGTATCACCAAAAATAAAATAGAAAATAAATATAAGATTAAAAAAAATAGCAATTTGACATGGTCATGCCATCCAAGCATGTGGTTTAGCAAAGTATCAGTCTGAAGTAGATTGGAATGTTGTAAAGAGCTAACACCTTACCACAGAGAGTTTGGAAAATACTGATTGACAAGAGTTCACATACAGTGCTTGCTACACAGAGGCAAAGCCAGGATCTAAAACTTACACAACCACAAAAATGACTGCTCTTCCATTTCTAATAAAATAGCAGACCAGATTTTGGAGAGACCTATCCAGTACAGGACATCTGGACTGCTACAGGAAAAGTTTATATCAAATATTTAACTAACTGAATCAGTAACACAGTCACATGGCTGAAATCACCAAAGCATTAAGAGATTCTCATAAAAGAAGTCTCCCTGTCACCCTACTCCCATTGACCCCATTCCAATCATGACTTTCCCAGCATTATTCAGTTCTTTCTTATCCTTCTTGGGATTTATTTATTTATTTATTTTTGGGGCAGTATTGGGGTTTGAATCCAGATCTCCCGCTTGCTAGGCATGCACTCCACCATTTGAGCCATGCTTCTAGCCCTTCCTGCTCTGGTTATTTTTGAGACGGAGTCTTGCTTTTTGCCCAGGCAGGCCTGGACTATGATCCTCCTACTTTATTTACACTTTTTGCTGTTGCTGGGATGACAGGTGCATGCCACCATGTCCAGTTTTTTTCTGTTGAGAAGGGGGTCTCGTAAACCTTTTTGCTCAGGTTAGCCTGGAACCACGATCCTCCCGAACTCAGCTTCCCAAGTAGTTAGAATTATAGGCTTGAGTCACTGGTACTTGACTCATTCTTGAGATTTTTAAATGTATATACAAGCTGAAATGTACATACAGTATGTTTATGAATATCTTTATGTGTATACATATAATGTATTATTATATATACATTTTATATATATATAAATAATTTTCTCCCTTTTTGAGTACACTAAAAGCTTATTTTTAAATACATGATTGAACTGTTATGAAAAAAACCATAAAGGCCCCAAATGTCAGAAATAAGGAGAAACTTCTCAGAGAAAGTGTCAGGGCCAGCTGTTGATCCCAGGTCACTTAGAGTGCAGAAAAGAATGAGAAGTAATGAATAAGAAGAAATTTGTTCTGAGAGCCTTATATAAATCTGGGATCCCTGAAAAGAAAGCAAAAAACTCTTAGCCCTCAGAGGAAGATGGAGATGTCCCTTGTCTTAGATTCTGCCCTCTGGGTTGTGAAACAAAAGGAAAAAGCCGTCCTGGAAATCACCTCACCACATGAGTTTGGGGCCCAGACCTGCGTTGTCTGAACAAAGTCCAAGAGAAGGAATGAGAGAAACGGTGATCATGAAAAGAAGCAACAACGTGTAGAGATCAAAGGTATGCTCACTGACATTAGAAACTCAACAGAACACAGACTTCATACCAACAGTACAAGAGAGAACTGGAAGCTAGATTTGAAAAATTACCAGACTGCATCACAGAGAGAAGCAAAGACATGGAAATCATGAGCCTGAGCTGTGAAGAAGGTGGCTCACACTTGTAATCCTAGCTACTCAAGAGGATTGTGGTTTGAAGGCAGTTCTGGGTAAATAGTTCGTGAGACTGTAGCTTGAAAAAACCCATCACAAAAAAAAGGGCTGGAAGAGTGGTTTAAGCCACTGTTAAGAGTACCTGCCTAGCAAGCAGTGCCACCAAAAAAAAAAAAAAAATTTCCCAAGGTGAAACTTTCCATAATCTATACCCAGGTCATGAAACAAAAGCATTACCAGAACCCCAGAAGTCTCTGTATGTCTCCATCAACTTACTACTCTCCTTTCAAGGGTAATCACTAAACTAAATGCTAAGACTATAGACTAGTTTTACTAAATTTTAATGCAAATGGAATCCCACAAGATATACCTACCTTCTTGTGTCCCGGTTCTTTTGTTTAACATTACAGTAGTGAGACTCATCCATGTTGTTACATTTAGTTATAGGTTACTCATTCTTACTGTGTTATTCCTTATGTTAACATACCACATTTTGTCTATTTGCTGTTGATAGACAGGTAGGTTGCTTACAATTTGGAGCTATTACAAACAGATTATAATACAAGTATTAAAAACCCTAGATGTCCCCATCCCTCCAAGACTTCAACTTTTGGACAAAATACACACACACACACACGTTATATGTATGTTTCAGCTTGTAGATACATTTTATAAGCTCTGGAAGGTAAGAAACAAATGAATAATGCCAGGGAAGAATTGTTGGAATTAGGGCAGATGGGAGGTAGGTGTAACAGGGAGATGTCTTTGATGAAAGCCCTTAATACTTTTGTGATTTTTTAACCAGGTGGGTTGTTTCCTACCTGAAACAACAACAAAAAAATCAGGCAAAATATAGGAGAAGACAGTTTTAAGACACTGAACACTAGGTAAAGGAGGACAGTAGTTCCTGAGACACAGAACACAAATGTGGTGAGCACTGTAATTACCCTGGCTTACTGCTTTAAGACCACTTCCAGGCTAGGGTGCAGGGAAAGAGGAACCCAGGCCGAGCACAGCAGAGTCCTCTAAATGGAGGTGAGAGCTGAATCCAGAAAAAACTACCAGCACCCAACTAAGTGAAATTCAAAACATCTGCCATTTAATAAAAATTGCCAGGTATGCAAAGAACTAGGGAAAGAAACACCAATAATGAGGGGGGAAAAAAATCAATAAATTGAAACCAACCCTGAAATGTCACTGGGACTAGAATTAGCCGACAAGACTGACTCACTGCTTTGTACTCCCTCTTCACTTCCAGAACATGGTGGATATTGTCCTTCTTATTTTTAGAATCTGTGTGTGTGTGTGTGTGTGTGCGTGATCATTACAGCAGTTCCATGTATTTGAGATAGAACAGGTGGTTCTCACCTTTGCACAAGCCACCTGTCATTCAGAAGTAACTTTTGTCCAAGTCACTGCAGTGGGATAGACTATCATCAAAGCATGCTTAGAACACTCTACCTTTTGCATTCTTTAAGACTTCTCACAATCCAAGTGTGGTCCATTGACCAGCACCCTTGTTACCACCTGGGAGATTGTGAGAAATGCAGTCTCAGCTCACCACCCTCTTCCCCTCCCCACAAACTATTGAACTAGAACCTACATTTTAACAGGATCTCTAGGTGATTCACAGCACATTCAAGCTTGGGAAACCTGCTTTCAGACTCCTCTCAGCTATAAACTCTTCAACTTCATAGGTAAGGATGAAAAGGCAGTTCACCTTCTGGCCAAGATAAAACCATGAAAGACTACAAGGAAGTAACAAGGATTATTTTTGCATTTGTACAAGTTAAGAAGATAAAGTACAGGTAAAGCAGATGCAAGGTGGGAGAAAATGTTTTAAAGTTCCAGAAAAAAATAGGTGCACAGACCAAAAACGCAACAAAAGGAAGAGTCAAGAAAAAGTGAGAATTCAGAATTCAGGGGGCTTGGTTAATAACTGAAGAGAGGGATGGAGGTGATACATGAGAGTGTGAAGCAGACTAGAAGTAGGAAAAGTTTGGGGCTCATGTAGGTTGCC